TTTGTGTGTGTCATGGGCCCTTTAGGCAAGCTGGTGAAGCCTATGGACCCCTTCTCAGAAGAATGTTTTTAAATGTATAAAATCCATAGGATTACAAAGGAAATTAAAGGTTAGTGAAAATAAAGATGTAATTTTTTCCCATCCAAATTCATGAACTTCCTGAAATCTTTCCCCAGATCCCTTTAGGATCTGTTGACTGTAAGTTAAGACTCCTATTGTAGACCAACTCTCTCATTTTAAAAATGAGGAAACTCAGACTTGGAGAAATGAATTTCTAAAAGTCACATAGCTTTAAAGTTAGTGGTGCATCCAAGAATTGAATGCAGTTCTCCGGACCCAAGTCGAGGCCTTTCTCCACCATACCATACTGTCTTTTCCATTAGAGCCTGCACACAGAAACCTTAAAGAAAACAACCTAATCCTGGGGTTCATCTAATATCTCCAGTGGAGCCTTGACTTGTGACTCCATCAATTTTCTTGAAGTCAAAGTGAGAAAGAAGGGGATTGTAAAAGTTAATAGCCATCAGGAAAAACCCAACACAAAATAACCTGCAAGCTGTAATTGTTTAATACTAACTTCTAAACTTTGGAAATTGATGTTTGAACAATGCCAAGCTCAGCACCTCTACCAGATGCTCCGGAAAATGATGAAATGCAAACAGCAGCCCCATTTGTCTTCCATGTTTATTCATTGACAGACCCTGCGCATTTCTAAGAATCACTCAGTGCTCTTGGTTTGGATAAGTACCGTACAAGGAATATGTGCTTTGTCCTCCTTCCAACAAAGGCCAGGAAACCGGTGGGTCTACTGCTGAGCCCTCACTGAGGCTTTGCAACCTTGAGAAAGCTGGCTAACCTCTGAGTCAGTTTCCAGAGCTGTAGAATAGGGAGAACAGTTGTAGTACTTTTGTCTATGATGCTATCAGGAGGTGGATGTGAAAGCCGTTATGGTTTCATTGGAGAATTTAGATTCTGAGATTTTCCAGTTAACCATAGAATCATAGATTGTTAGAGATAGGCAGGGTCTTACAACTCAGGATGTTAAAACTAGAAAGGTGATAGGAGCAGAGAACTGGAGGTAGGAGGGACCTTATACCTAGAATACTAGAGCTGGAAGGGGTCTTAGTGCATAGAATCACAGAGTCACAAAATGTGAGACTTGGAAGGGATCACATGTAGTCCACCCTATATGTAGAAGAATCTCAGCTATATGACACGTCCAACAAGTGGTGATCCAGCCTCTGTTTGAAGACCTACTAGGAGGCGAAAACCACCACTTCTTGATGTGTAAGAGGGAGGAAGGAAAAGCATCAATTAAGCACCTACTAGGTACCAGGTGCTGTGCTAAGTGCTTTATAAATATTACATATTTACAAATATTCTGAGACTTTAAAACAGAAGTTCTTGATCTTTCTTGCTTGTGTGTCCCCTTTAACAGTTTGATGAAACCTATGAACTCTTTTTCAGCATGTTTTTAAATTCATCAAATAAAATACTTAGGATTATAGAAGAAATCAATTACATTGAAATATAGTTTCTCTCTCCTTATCCATCTTTTTCTGTCTGTCTGTCTGTCTGTCTGTCTATCTATCTATCTATCTAATCTTTCTGACAAATTCACAGACCACAGGTTAAGAAACCTTGCTTTAGAATATAAAATGTTAGCACTCCATTTTGGGGTCCAAACCCTGAATTTACAAATGGGGAAACTGAAGCTTAATCCATTCACATATAAAGTAGGAAACCAGCAACAGCATGTAATAGGACAAAGGACCCAAAGTAGTGACTTTATATTAGTCTTTCATTTTTAATAGAGTGAAAAGCTAAGTAGTCAAATGATAGTTCAACATAAGCGTATGTACCAGACATTTGTGGGCCTGTGGGAGGTGATGGCCAGACATGGCAAAGTCTTAATATACTTCACTTTGAAAGTCATAACCCTGTGCATAAAAGTCATTATAATTTATGACCACACACAATCTCTATTTTTGTCCTAAAATATTAGACACCAGGGACGGCCTAGTCCTGCTTTTGCCAACCCTGAAAAATTGAGTTTTATTTTATCTCTAACTTAGAAGAAGATAATTTCTAGTTTCAGCTGCTTATGGGCTGAGCAAGGAAGTTGGGGGTGGGGAGAGGAAAAGGAAAGGTTTCTGGGTGTTCACATACAGTTCTTAGCTTCCTGAAGACTTGCAGATTCATTTTAGAGCGAGAAGGTACTTTGCAGATCATCTAGTCTAACCCAGCTGAAGAAATTGCAACCTGTAGAAGAACTGGGACTTACACAAGGTCACACTGGTAATAAGCTGGCATTTGAATCCTGGTTTTCTGAATCCAAACTCAGTGCTCTTTCTTCTACACCATGATCGTTTAGTACCTGTTTATTAAATGTTTGTGTGCAAGGAATTGTGCTAAGTCCTGAGGGGAATACAAGATAGGGTTCCTGTCCTCCAGGTCCTCACAGTCTGACAATAGGTGCAGAACAGGAGGACACCAGAGTGGTGCAGATAGTAAGTACTTTCAGTTGGAGTGTTCCAGCTGGAGCACGGATTTCTCGGAATGCTTGATTGTTTTGTCTAACTTCCAATTAGGTGGGTTTCCTTTCACCCCCAGGTGACACAGATGGAATAACTATGACCTGAGGACCTGCCTCCTGCTACCCTTCCACCCCCCAAGAAAATATCTTCCCTATTGGAAGCTTCTCTTCTTCAAGGTCTAGGTTCTAAATCTTTTTGCCATTTTTCTCTATAAATGCTTGCTCCTAACTCCCTCCTTTGAGCAGTTCTGACCTTGATCCTTATCGGGAAGCTTTAGCGATAAAAAGCCTATTCTTTGAATATCTTTGCTGACTAATATATCGGGTTATTAAACTGCTGTCTCTGTCTATTTTGGTAGCAAATGAGGTAAGACTTTAAGGACAGGAGCCTTCTGAGCAACTGGATTTAGCAGATGGAGAAATGCAGACGTCCTGCAGCTCCAGACTAATCAGTTGTTTATCCAACAATAAATAACAGGCAATAGAACAGAAGATGTGTTCTCCACTCTTTGGCACCTTCCAGCACTAATTACACCATTAATGGCAGAGAGTGAAATATTTCACACTGTCCACAATACAATAATGCCAATTCTGTCCAATGCAGCCATGAAGAAAGCCATTCTTTACCTTCCAATGGCCTCCTGTCATCATCCTAATCCTCTGTCAATGTCACACCTACTTTTCTGGGTACTTCAGCTCACCCAAAAGCGGGAAGAATATGTAGTTTAGGATTATAGATGTAGAGCTGGAAAGGCCCTTTGGAATTACCTAGTCCAATGCCTTCATTTTACAGATGAGGAAACTGAGGTCCAAGAGGGAGAGTAGCTTGCTCTAGGTCACATAGATGGCGACAGCTAACATATAGAGTGTAAAGGTTTACAAAGAGCTTTATAAATATTATCTTCTTTGGTCCTCACAACAGCCCCATGCTGTTACTATCCCCATTCTATAGATGAGGAAACTGAGGTTGGCAGAGGTTAAGTGACTTGCCCAGGTTCACATAGTCTAGTTGGTGAGACAGGGAAAAGATTACTAAAGATGCAAAGCCATGTTTGCTAAGTGTCAGGTTGTGGGGCTGGGAGGGTAGGGTGTTCTAAGACTAAGTACTCTGGGTGTTCATTGGAAAGAGCTATTGTGAGTAGGGGGTGCCTGTGAAAGACTCCAGGGAGGAGGTAGGCCTTAGGTTAAGCCTTGAAAGAAGGGGAACATTATGACAGGTCCACCAGATGAAGCCCATTTTCTTGTACTCTTGCCCTAGGAGAGCAGAAGAATCTCTGTAAAGAAGAACCTGCACCCCAAGGATGCCTTTACCTCTAATATTTATGATTCACACACATGCTAATAGTTCATCCTCTTCTCCGAGCCACTGTAATAACTTTGTGACTTACAGAGTACTTATCTCTTGACAGCTCTGCAATTGGGCATCCAAATACAGCTAGAGCAGAGTTTCAGGTGGTTCTAATACAGCAAGTAGTACAAGTATCATGATTCCTATTTTATAGATGAAATTCGGACTCAGTGAGGTCATGTAATACATTTATGGTCACACGACTAGTCGGCAGCAGAGCTAGGCCTGATGCACTTGGACTCGGAATCTGAAAACTTGGGTTAGAATCCTTGCTCTGCCCCTGACTAGCCCTGTGACCATAACCCACTAAGCTGGGCATCCTCCAGACTTGGCTCAGTGCTAACCCAAACTTCTGGATGAGGCCTACTAGGGCCAAGGTCATGTTTTTTCTCTACACCTGTGCATGTCCCAGCTGTCTTTGAATGCTGGGTATTGCTGCTCTACCTGCAGGAGACATCAACAAAATTTTTACATTCCTCTTTTGCTCTTCCTAATACACGCAAATGATATTTTTATAAATTCTTTGGCATTAATTGGGAGTGCTTAGTCAAAGTCACTTTAGGCCCAAATTACTTCTTTCCCAGAACATCTTTTGGAGAGTCGTGAATTAATTTCATTTTCCTTGGTGCTCATTTTTCTGACTTTACCTCAGTTGTTGACATGGACCAGGACATATTTTGACATTTCATAATGTCATTTGGGCTGCAATTACACAGAAAGCAAACATCTGGCACTGATTTGAATAGGTGATTGCCAAGGCCCAGGGAGGCCTCACCCTTTACAGCGGGGGATGAGAACAACACATGAAGTTAACGGAGATATATACTACTTGGGCATCCTCAAGGGGTGGTACCTAACTCTCAGGAACAGGGAATTCTGATTTAGTGAAACATACAGAAATGAAGGCTAGCAACCAGTGCTCACTTTATCAATAGGCTAAATTTTAAAAAAAGTCCTCCACATGTTGTTTTGAGCTGGAGTGATGGAAGTGAAAGGAGAGGAGCCATGATATAGCACTGAAGCAGCAGAAAGACAGGGTTGTTTTCCCAGAGGACAAGCAGCTTTCTTCTTTTCAGTGTGTATTTGCTGACTGCTTTCTTTTTCATTTCTTTCTAGAATACTCTGGACCTTGAAGAGACTGGAGAAGTAATCCAGGGCAGTATCAATGCTCTGCCAGATGTTTCCTTGGTAAGATGTTCTGCCTTCTCTTTTGGCCTTTCATTGGAATAGGACATTTCGGCCACTAAGAACTAGCAGAAGGGCCAGTGAGGTGATACAGTGGATAGAACACTGGCCCTGGAATCAGGAAGACCTGAATTTAAATCCAGCCTCAGATAATTACTAGTTGTATGACCCTGGACAAGTCACTTAACCCTAATTTGTCTCCAAGTGGGGAAAAAAAAGAACTAACAGAGAAGCAGCATGTCACCAAAAAGTGTAGGCTCATAGGTGAAAGCTGGAATTAACCTCAGAGGCCAATTAATCCAACGCTCTCGTTTTATAGAGGAGGAGATTTAAGCCCAGGGAGTTTAAGTGACTGTCCCATGGTAGCACAGATAGTTGGGATCAGACTTGAGTTAGAGGACCTGCCTTAGAACCCCCAAGACCTGGGTTCAAGTACCATCTTTGACATAGACTAATTGGACTAATTGGACTAATCACTTATCCCCTCAATGCCCTTGGGCAGCTCTCTAAAGCACCAAATTATAAATGAGGAGCAGATCTGGATAAGGGGAGGGAGTTTCCATATCTGGAATCCCCCACCCTGATGAAATTGTAGGTTGACACAAAACCGCAAAAAAAACCCCCAAAAACCCAATTATACCAGGCATGTAACCTGGTTTTCATGAAATACATTTGGCATAATGACGAAAGGGGGCTCTGGGTCTCAGTTTTTAGTCCCAGCCCTGCTCTTTGCCCCAGCCTCAGTGTAGCCACTTTATACCTGTGGGGGCTTTGGCAGCTTGTGGTCCCCTTGCTGGATTTCAGTGTCCTCAGTACATAAAGTGAGGGGATTAGGACAAATGCTTCCCTAAGGGGTCTAGGGAAGGGCTTTCTCTCTCAGAGGCTGTATGTTCTCTGGTCCCTTCCAGCTCTAACCTTCTGTGTCAGATGGTCGTTTCTGGCTGTAAATCCTATATTTGCATAACTCTGTATCTTTTTCTATCTTGTTTTTCCCTCTGCCCTAACAGCAGCCATCCCACATTATCTATTATATCTTCTTCTGTTTCTGTTTGCAAGCCACTGGGCTTCTCTGTGTAGAGTTGAAGGATAATGTCACCTGTATGCTCATTTTCTCTTTTTCCACTCCCGCTGTGCTCCTCACTGGTATAAGCTAATCCCTTAGAATGTAGCAAAGCCAAGGAAATGTCTTTTTTTTTTTTTAATACTGCCTACTGCCTGTAATTAAGTCTGTAAAGACTCCTTGCTACAGGATATTGCTGATGCCAAGGACTTAGTGAGATTCCCAAAAGGAGGAGGCTATTAGGTAACAATACCGTCTGCAAAGATACTTGCCAAGATCCAAGCCGCAGGGGTCAGTCTTCTATCAGCAGCTGAGATGACCCAGATTTTCCACTATGGTGTTGCATTATTCAAGCAGGCCTCATCACGTGGCTGATAGAACCCTGACAACTGTAGGAGACAGAATTCCAGCCTGGATCTTGGTTGGTTCTGGTACAACCTCCCATCTCTTGAGTCTCTCTACAAAAGAAGGCTCTCCCAGATCTAGTGATGGAGTCTGATGGCCTCTGTTCTTGCTGGATTTTTTGGCAGGATGATGTCGCCTCTCATCCTGAGGCACCACCCAACTTCAAGCCTCCACCACCACCTCCTCCAGCTCAGTCCCTTGACTCTTCTGTTCCTCAACAGAGAAAGACTGGGAAAGACCATCTCAAACACCCTTCTTCAGAGTCTTCTCAATCGGGCCCTTTCTTCACAGCACCCCGCAACATTAGCTCACCAACTGGCCAGCCAGAGAGGGACACAACCAGCACCCCATCCACTGGAGCCACTTCCTCTGTAGAGGGGTCTCTTGCCAGCCCCATCTATGCTACCATTTCTCCAGCCAATCACAGCTTGAAGAGACCAATGGATACACACCTCTCATTTGTCAACCAGCACCCAATAGGCCCCTTCCCCAGGGTCCAATCTCCAACTCATCTGAAGGGCACGTCCCTTGAAGCTTCCTCAGGGAGCAGCCTCCCAAGTCTTCCTCTTCCCTCTCCTCCTGCTGTCCCTATTCCCCTTGATAAGACCAGTCCCAAGTCAGGAATGAATCATCATTTTGTCATGGTGGAAGTACACCGGCCAAACAGTGAACCAGACGTGAACGAAGTGAGGGCCCTGCCACAGACTCGAGGTGAGTAGCCACCAGTCTGTCATGGATCCAGAATTCTCTCTACCCACTAAGAATGGGTCCACTGTTGCTTCTCTGCCATTGACTCTTATGAGAAAAGAACAAAGAAAGAAGCTGATACTAGGGGTTTATTCCACCAAAAAAAATTTTTTTTCCAGGCTATGGCCCTTGGGCCAGTAAAGATTCAAGTCTGGCTTTTCTGTCTTCTACTCCTACCATTCAGTGGTAATTATCATTGTTGACTGAAAAGCAATGCAGAAATAAATTTCAGTGGAGCTTCTTAAGTGATCTAATTATAATCAGTGTAGTTTTTAGTGGGAGCAGTGTGGTACACTACAGTATACAAATGCTGACTTGGAAGTCAGAGGAACTGTGTTCAAATCCCAGATCTGCCACTTGTGAGCTATGTGCCTTCAGAAAGCTACTTTATTTCTCTGGGCCTCAGTTTCTCCATCTGTAATATAAGGGCACTGGACTAAGTGACTCCAAGTTTCTCTTCCCAAGGGCATTCAGTGTATTTGATTCTATCCCGTTTGTTTGAAAATTGGTAATCCATATTAATAATGAGGCAGCATGGTGGATCGGCCAGATGGACAGCTTTGGAATCAGGAAGACGGGTTTGTGTCCTGCTGACAACATACTTCACATGCATATGTCCTCTGATGCCATGGGCAAAGTCCCTTAACCTCTTCATCTGTGCTTCAGGCACTTCTCTAAGACTTTGAGTTATAGATGAGTTTCCAACTTACATGAATTACAGGGAATTTTCACATTAGAACTTCCCTACATCAATCACACCACTGATTGGAGAAAAAATAATCACTTATGATTCTTTGAGGTTTGCAAATTGCATTGCATACATTATCTCATTTGCTTCTCACAAGAATCTTGTGAATTAAAATATTCTTTTCCCCACACAGAGAAGCTATCTTCCACTGATGTCTAACCCCGTTGCCTCCTTGTGGCATAAAGGTGACCCAAAGGCTCTGAAAGTAGTGTTCTAGTTCTGATAGGTCCTACCAAGCTAGAAAGGATTTGAGTACGGGTTGGTGATACCAGCTTAGCTAAATGCGGAGGAGAGGGTCCCCAGGTTGGCCTAAGGCTGGAAACTTTTCTGGTGGGCCAGCCCCACAGGAGCTCATAAAGGCCATCTTCTAAGGCTAGGAGGGGTTGCAATTTGTACTAGCAACAGAATTACCCAACCAGTAATATAATGGCTTCTCCAAGAACCAGTCAATCAAGTATTTATTAAAGTGCCTGAAGTGTATCGATAGTTGTACATACAGTAACCAAAAAAAAAATTACCTTTCCCCAGCCATCCTGGATAAATGGGAGCTTTCCATATTTTGACCTTGGAATGAGTTTCAAAATAACAAGGAGAAAAGAGCAAGGGAAATGGCCTTCCTACAGTATATTACACACTGTGCTATGGTTTGTGTGTCTGGAGAGATAATATTGAGCTGTCTTAGACCATCACCTCTATTTTCCTCCTCCCTGGGTGGCAGTGACACACCTCTGGGATGAGCCCAGGCATTTAAGACAAGCTGTCTCAATGGCTGGCAAAGCTAGGAATTTCGAAGTAGAAAGTCCAACAACACTTTGAGAGGGAGAGGTTCTGAAGTGACTTTTGATACCCCTCTAAGGCAGGTCTTGGAACAGCTACACAACCATTCATTGCCAGCTTTCCGATTTCCCTCACCCCAGGACGTCGAGAAAAAATCATGGCTTTGTTGGGCCATGTTGCCCTCTTGTGGTTTGACCTGTCATTGCTAGCTTAGAGGGGTCTTCAGTGCCAATAGATGGTAATAGAAGGCAGTTGGTGGGACTTTGCACTTATTTAGTAACCATTTACCCCTAGATCAAGAGTTTTTAACCTTTTTGTCTGTCAGAGGTCTCTTTGGCAGTTTGATGATAACTAGGGACCCCTTCTCAGAAGAATGCTTTTAAATGCGTAAAATAAGATGCATTACAAAGGAAACCAATTATATTAAAATAGTTCTCAGAATATTCATTTTTTTAAGTTAATGGACTCTAGGTTAAGAACACGATCTTAGATCACTGAGCAACTATCAGACACTAATCCATAAACCTTCCCAATTAGCCTCAGAGTTGAAAGGTGATTTCTCCCAGTTTTCAGATGGGAAATTCAAATCTAGAAAAAAATGATCAGTTTCAGCATCAGATACAAGAATGAAATAGAGGGGTCCAGACTCGAAGCATCCGCCATGACCCCCTAAACTAGGAGTTATTAACCTCTGGTCTATGAGCTTCAAAAATATTTTTTGATTACTGTATTTCAAAATAATTGGTTTCCTTTGTAATTTAATTTTATACATTTAAACACATTATTCTGAGAAGCATTCCCTAGTTTTCATCAGATCATAGAAAGAGATCCATGGCACAAAAAGATTAGGAACCTCCACCCTAAACTAAGCTTCTCTAGGCTAGCTAGCAGGCTTTTGGAGAAGAAGGAATCCTATTCAATTGAAATCCATTTGGATCCTGTTTCTGAACTCTAATTACCTCAGAAAGGCAAGATTCCAACTCTGGCCTCCAGCTCTGACTAGGGAGCAAGACTGTCTTCCTCTTGCTGTCTCTCATCCTGCTTCTCACCATGTTTAATCCCAGACCACTTCCCATAATGTCTTGACACCTGAAAACATGTGATTTATTATTTTCTGCAACCACTGTCTGGGACCTTTTCTCCCTCAGGGGCATAACTATATCAGAACTACAGTGTCAGAAAGGGCCCCTTTATTTATTTCTAATACAATACAACAAACAGTGTCTACTGTGCACAGAGCCCGGTGCTAGGTACTGGGGGAGATACCGAGCTTACATATGATAATAGTTCATGCCCTCAAATTGCATATAGAATAGTCAGGAGATGTCACCAACTCAGATCATACAGTATTGTTGTTCAGTTGTTTCAGTTGTGTCTGACTCTGTGAATCCATTTGGGTTTTGGTTTTTTTTTTTTTGGCAAAGATACTTGAGTGGTTTGCCATTTCCTTCTTCATCTCATTTTACAGATGAGGAACTGAGGCAAACAGGGTTAAGTGACTTGTCCAGGGTCACACAAGTAGGAAGTGTCTGAGGCCAGATTTGAACTTAGGAAGATGAGTCTTCCTGACTACAGGCCTGGTATTCCATCCATTGCACCACCTAGGCACCTCAAAAATACATGAAAAGATCATTAAAGAGTCAGAAAACAAGGGTAGGGGAAGCCTGACGAGAAACTATCAACTGGAGGAATCAGGGAAAGTTTCATGGAAGAGGTAGCTTGGGGGGTGGGGTTTTAAAGCACAAGGACTTCAACAAGCAAAGAAAAAAGGAAGGCATTCCAAGTCCTGGGAACAGTGTGAGCAAAGCACAAGCGTGTCTGGGGACATAAAGCAGTCCATTTTGGCTAAAGCACTTTGTGTGTAGGGGAGTGATGTCAAATAAAACACAATGAAAATAGTAAATATTAATTAAGTGCCTACTGTGTGCAGGAGCACTGTGCCAAGCACTAGGGGACACCAAGTTGAGCTAAGACAATATCTTCACCCTCAAGGATCTTTCCAGGTAGTAGGAGGAAGAAAATGGAAAAATAGCCAGATGATGGAGGGCCTTGAATGCCAAACAAAGGAATATGAACTACTCTTTAGAACAGTAGGGAGCCAGTGAAGATTTTCAAAAAGTGCAGGATGTTAAGGAAGATTATTCTGGTAGTGGGATGAAGAATGGATTACATGAAGGAAAAAGTAGCAGAGAATAAGACACAGGAGATCATAGAAGGTGATACTGAGAGTCTGTGTGAGAATGGCAGCAGTTGAAATAGAGAGGAGAAGAAAGATATGAAAGATGACAGCGTTAGAATCCTTAGGACCTGGAACTGATTGATTGGATAGGATAGAAGTGAGGAAAGGGAAAAATCAACAGTAATGCTAAGGTTATGGATGTGAGTAACTGACATTGACATATGTTATGGAAAGTATGGAAATCAGAAGGAAAACCTGATTTAGGGGGTAAGATGAGTTTGGTTTGGGACAAGAATGTGTCAAAGCCAGGTCAAGCAAGAGAGCCGGTCATTAAATTCTCAGTATGAGCTTAAGCTTCTACCTTGGAGGGTGGTAAACAATTGGACAAAGCTGGGCTTGATTTATCATTTTGCTTGATTGCATTGTCGACTTAAGAAAGTGATAGAGAAAATGTTAATAATGAAGATTAAACTTAAAAGTGTGTTGTGCGTTTTCAAAGAGCTGGTTGTTAAACATTTATTAGCACATCCCTGGTTTGAGATATGTTCATTTGGAGGTGCTAGAGGGGTATCCATGTACAGATAACCCATAGCCTGCAGGTGATTGGAGGTAAGGGTCTTGGATAGGTCAAAGAGAGCTCAGATCTAGAGATAGAGATTTTCAAGTGATCCACATAGAAGTGGTATTTGCCAATAACCAAAGGGTAACCATTTCTGAGCCTTCTCCACCCTTCTACAATGCAAGGGATATTGGGAGTATATTTTGCACCATTGGTGGTGGTGGTGGTCCTTTGTTTTCTAAGAAGACCAGTGACATCATAGGGATGTCTTGACTTGTGTGTGAATTGGATTTTAGTTGAGGCAGAGTTGTGCAAAATTGTCAGCCTTGTTCTCTCTTTCTGAATCCTCCAAGTCCAGTAGCAAGATAAAAGTCAAGACCTTTGGAGAGAAAGAAAGGAATGACACTCAATTGCCTTTATACCCTTGCAAGTAAAGCGTAAGTGAATTTCAGTAAACTGAATCATGGATCATCACCAAGTGATGTCTTCTTGCAGTTTTAATGGCCTTATCTGGAGTGAGTATAGTTGTAGGGGCCTGGAATAGCACTGTATATCTCATATTTAATTAACTGTCCAAAGGGCACTACTGCCAATGCATGGCTGCTGTGGCTTCTCCCTGTTGTGACTCCTGAGTCAAAAAACCCCTGTACCAGTCTTTGGGTCTTTGAGTCTCACGGGAGCTACTTGAAAAGAAACTAAAATTTCCTAGATTAACCTGGTGCCCAAACTAGTATCCTTATCCTCCTGTTTACCTACTTATGCCCTATGTCCAATTCCACGTGGAGAGCAGAAGGGACTCAGAGGCCCAGTGTCCATAGGTATTCCTCAGCAGCCTCCTGACAACATATTCTGTTTTCCTTCCTGCTAACAGCTGTTCTCCCGCTGTCACCCCCAGCAGCCTCTACCCTTTCCCAACTATCAGACAGTGGGCAGACTCTCAGCGAAGACAGTGGCGTGGACACTGGGGAGGCAGAGGCCTGCAGCAAGGACCAGGGCCGACAGCAGGCCTCCATAAAAGGAAGAGGCAGCAAGGACCTCCCCCGGAACGAAGGGGCAGCAGAGACAGCCACCAAACCGGTAAGTAATAGACCATGAGGTGAGGAATAGATATGAGGTAGCTTCCTAGGCAGGGCAGGCTGGGGATTGGACTCCACCCTGGGGTTTCCGGGGTGTTCTGGGATGGGGAGGCGGTGGAGTCTGCCCAAGGGAGGGGGTTCCTAAATGTGATTCAGAAGCCAGTGGGTAAGGGGTCATGGTTGACCTTGTTCTCAACCCAGCCTATGTGTGTGGTGTGAGAGGCATGAGCTGGTCAGCAGCTGTATGTATCTTGTGCCTGAACAACACAGATAGGGTTTTGCCATACCCTGCCTTGAAGGCACCCAGTCATAGAGGCCTCCTCATCACCTCCCCCCCATCTTTAAACATGCTGGCCTTGCCCCATCCCTAGAGTCACTGAATCAGAAAATTAAAGAACTTCTTCCTATTACACATTGATCCAAATAGCTGGCAAAACTAGAGACCAAGTTTGCCAATGTTGCCCAAACTCTATCACACCCTGAGTGGTGACAAAAGATATCAGGATTTCTCTTTCTAGTGGATGAGAATGTAAGTCCATCTGAGCTTGCACTTGCTTCTGGGTGGCTTTTTCCACATAAGGGTTGTCCCCTATAAAAGAGCTCAGCATGTAATAAGTAATTTAAACACACAAAAACTGGGAATCGATAAACCTGGGTTCTAATCCTTGCTGTGTGTGGCCTTGGACAAGTCACTGACCTCCCTTGGACTTCAGTTTCTTCATTATGGTAATGTGTAAATTCCTTGAAGATGAAGACTGTATTGTATGTATCCCTTCCACATGCTATACGCATTATACATGGCAGATTTAATAATACTTGTTGAATGACTGGATGAGTTTTTTGTTTTTGTTTTTTTTCCTTTTTGGTGAGGCAATCAAGGTTAAGTGACTTGCCCAGGGTCACAGCTATTAAGTGTCAAGTATCTGAGGCCGGATTTGAACTCAGGTCCTCCTGATTCCAAGTGATTGAGTTTTTTAAACAAATAGTTTGGATTAGATGAACTCTAAGGTTTTTTTCCAGCTCTACGATCCTTGGATAGGGCCAGGAAGCTTAGAAGAATCCAAACTGTCCAATTTTAGAGGCAGAAAGGAAATCTAACCAAGACCTTTAGGGGACCCACTGAAGGGGCAGCCTTTGGGGATGATAACATTTCCTCTGCCTTCAGCCTGGCCTCCTGGAGCCCACATCCTCTCTGATCCGAGTGATGAAGAGCGCGGCCACCTTGGGTATTGCTATTGAGGGTGGTGCTAATACTCGACAGCCGCTGCCAAGAATCGTAACCATCCAGGTATGGAAAGAAGCAACATCTGAGAAAAGCAGAATCCTTTTTGGTTTCCCCTAGACTTGGCTACGTGACTCCTCCCTGCCTTCTCCCAAGCAACCAATGTGATGGCACTGCAAATTCCAGAAAACATCAGGAGGTTAAGAATTCTAAGTGGCTCCAGGACTCTTAGCCTCACCCCACCTCTTGCCCCTACTCTCTCTCCTATATTTCTTCTCCATAGTGGTATCTTGATCAAAGCAGTACTAGAGCTGTATCCAAAATATTTCTGTGCTTTGAAGTTTACCAAAGATGTGATCTGGGAACACCACTGATTTCACCTTTGTCATTAGCCCTCCCACAAACATCCTCCTACTAGAAGTCAGGAAGGGTGCATAACCATGAACCAGAGGCTTAGGGCTATAGAATAAAGACTCAGTCTCTGGTTTTAGAGAGACCTTAGATGGAAGCGAGGAGTTGCATGTATTACTACCTGTGCATTGGAGCTAGGTGGGGAGGGGAGTCTGGGATAAAACAAGCCTATAAAGCTAGAATGGGTTGGTGGCTTCAGCCACCTGGATATTTAATATGATCTTTATGCTCTGCTTAGGTGTACCCATAGCTTGGCACAGCATGTGTTGGGTCCAGGGGCCATTTTGCATTTGTATGTGAGCATTACTACATGTGCCAGCTGCCACACACATGCAGAAGGCATTCTTGGTAGCTACTCAAGTGCATGTAAATAAGAATTAATGAGAGTAAGCTCAGCTCCTGGCTGTGGCAGTCTGAGGCCAGGTGAATCCAGCCTGCGGTCTGTCGGAGCCACCGGTGGCTGGTCTAGGGCCGTGGGTATCATGAGCTGACATCCTCGTCCCGTGTCTCCTCTTTGCAGAGAGGCGGCTCTGCCCACAACTGTGGGAAGCTGAAGGTGGGTCATGTGATCTTGGAGGTGAACGGCACGACAATGCGGGGCAAAGAACATCGGGAGGCTGCCCGCATCATTGCTGAAGCCTTCAAGATGAAGGACCGGGACTATGTGGACTTCCTGGTTACTGAGTTCAATGTGATGCTTTAGGGGAAGGACCCCCAGAGCCCAAGTAGAAAGATGGCCCAAGGGAGAGTGCCCAGGATCCAAGTAACTGAGAACAGTGGTGGCTCTGATGAGCTCTGTGTTGTGTCTCACACGTGTGAAAGTGCACGTAGCTCCACATCAAACAGATGCTCCTTCCCAGATCCCTCGTGCTCCCCTCCTGGCTATGGCAAGGTGATGTGAGAGGCCTGTTCCAGCCAGCCCGCCAGCCCAGATTAGGGCCCACCTACTCCCCTTGCCCTCGGGGAAGGTCTTGTTCCCAGGCACATGGTCAAGCTGGCTGCTGGCTGGCAGACAGAAAGACAGACAGACAGACAGACAGCTCTTAGCATCTGCTGGGTTAGCAGTCAGCCCCAACAGCGCCCAGAGAGCAGGAAGGAATATGGGGAAACAGGGAAGGACTAAGAAGAAGAAAGAGGCCCAAGAGGGAGGGAAAGCAAGAGCTCCAAGAACAGAATAGACGGGGAGCTTATGCTTTTGTCCGTCCTTCCTCTTACCTGTTTACCTTTGTCACTACTTGGCTCCACCTTTGTGTTAAGGGACATGTCCCGCCTTTACCATATGCTCAGCTCTGTTGTCCTTTACCTTCACCCTGAACCCTTTTGAATCCCTCCTGAGTTGGGTTAGAGGCTCTTTTGCCCTAACCTGCCAGCTCTGGCCTCCTCTCCACCTTCTCACACTCGTACCCCTTGAAGAGAGGAATATATCCCATCTGCCCCCGAGGAGCTTGGCTCCCTTTAGTAACCCCTCTCCTTCCTCTGACAAGCTGTTAGCCAGAGCAGGGGTGAAGAGAGAGCCCTGGGGCCTCGGCGGCCAGAGGATGGTCCCCCGGAAATGCCCTGCTGCAATCTTCGTGCCACAGACTGGGTGGGCAGCAAGTGCCCTCCTGCCCTGGCTGTTTATTCCACCCAGCTTACTTCTCCACTGTCTTATTTATTATTTGTTTTCTACCCTGTCAGCCATGGATCCCAAGCTCCCCCATCTCCAGCACCTATCCTGTCTGGTTATCCTGTGCACAGCCTAACGATGGATGCCTTGTAAATGCAGCAATGTCAGTGTATTTATATAAAGAGCTTGTGATTTTAATTTTTCAATAAATCTAACATGTTAGGAAAAAGCGTACTGTGGGGCCCGCCTTCTTCCCACTGGAAAGTGTCACTGGGTCACGGCCTCCCACTGAGGAGCCCCTGTCTTCTCGGGTTATCGTACAACAGTGTTTAATGAGTTTTGATCTTTCTCTGATACTGGCTAGTTTTGTGGACTTTGGAAAATCATTTAACCACCCTGTGCCCCATTTTCCTCATCTGTAAAATGGAGGCAATACCACTTTGAATGTCTTGATGCAGGGGGTTGGACTAGAAGACATCCTGAGAGCTTTTCCAGGACTAAGTTGTATTATCTGATATGCTCCTTGAAGACAGGGACCAGGTGGGATTTATCTCTGTGTTTTTCACATTATTATTCCTATTGATGGATTCTATGAGTTTGTAACCCAAACTGGGCAATCCATTCTGCTGCATCTCTCCTACAGCCCACAAGGGGGCCAGCTTTGACCTGATTGAAGACGAATCTCCCTTGATATCTCAGCTGGACATTGAAAGGAATGAATCCTTTTAAGAATGGAGTTCCTCTGGCACTTCCAGAGTCTCTGAAGGTGCCTCACAAGGCAGTCCACTGGAGGAAAGCAGTGTAGCATAATAAAAACTAGAACTGGGTTTAGAGTCAGAAGCCTTGAGTTTGAATTCTTTAGCTGTTACGTATGACTCTGTGACTATGGACAAGTCTTTGGGTCTTGTTTTCTTAGTCTTTAAAATGAGAGGGTTAAACTTCACAGTCTTTAAGATCCTTTCAAGGGCCAAATCCTATGCTATCTGCGAAATCCGTCTCTCCTCACAAAGTACCGTAGAGGGTTTCTGTATGATATCCAGCTGAGACGGCTTACCAAGAGGTATTTCAGAAAGACTGTCTAGGGCCCTAATAATCACGGTTCCAGAAATGGTTTCTAAAGTTCATTTTATTATAACCTCAGGGCATCTGGCTCGGAGTAGTCTTTTCACAAAGGAATGAGTTCTGAGCTGGATTTGTGAACCAGCTTCCCTCAGTGAGCAAGGCCAATTCCCATCAAATCAATCAATTGGACATTGAGGGATCAGGCAAGACATCCAGGCACTCCTAGAGCATATACTCTGAGACCTCTGTTGACAGCAGAAGATGGGGTTAGAGTGAGTGAATCTTACCCAGCGATTATGCCTATGTATCTGTGTTCCCAAGACCCCTGCTATGGATATGTAACAATATTGATGAAGTAGAAGCCTTTGTCCTTAAAGAACTTATAGCCTAGTGGGAGCATAAAATTAATACTCATCTTCATATCCCCACTGCCTTGTACATACTAATTGCTCAAAAGCTGTTGAATGAATAACAGGATAGATAACTTATACATATACATACATGTGTGTGAAACAGCATGGTTTAGTGGAATACATACTGGAGTTGGAGCCATAAGACCTACATTTGAACCCTGGCTTTGACTAGATGTATGACTTTAGGCAAATCATTTAATCTGTCTTGCACATCAGTTTCCAAATAGAGAAGCATCATATATAGTGGAAAGAAAACTAGACCTGGAGTCAGGAGAGTCCTGACTCTGACACTTGCTCTCTGTGTGATCATGGGCAAGTTCTACCTTCTCAGAGCCTCAGTTTCCTCACTTGTAAAATAGGGATAAAAATATTTGTATTAGCTCCTTCCTTGGGGAAGTAGGGTGGCCTAGTGGATAGAATGCCAGGCCTGGAGTCAAGAAGACTCCTCTTCCTGAGTTCAAATTTGGCCTCAGACACTTCTTAGCTGTGTGACTCTGGGCAAGTCATTTAACCCTGTTTGTCTCAGTTCCTTCACCTATAAAAGAGCTGGAGAAGGAAATGGCAAACCACTCCAGTAGCTTTGCCAAGAAAACCCCAAATGGGGCCATGAAGAGTCAACTATAATTGAAAAACAACTGAACGAGAAATCTTCTTCCTATGGTTGTTATAAGGATCAGTGAGACACTGAATGTTAAGTGAATTGTACACCTTGAAACTCTATACATACAGGCTGTCCAAAAGTGCTACTGTACTGGACACTGTGTTGTTATTACATTGTTTTTTAGTCATGTCTGACTTTTTCTTTTTAGGCAATTGGGGTTAAGTGACTTGCCCAGGGTCACACAGCTAGTGAGTGTCAAGTATTTGGTCTGAGGCCGGATTTGAACTCAGGTCCTTCTGACATCAGGGCCAGTGCTCTATCCACCACGTCTAACTTTTCATGGCCTAATTTGGGATTTTCTTGGCAAAGATGCTGGAGTGGTTTGCCATTTCTTTCTCCAGCTCGTTTTACAGATGAGGAAACTGAGGCAAAGAGAGTTAAGTGACTTGCCCAGGGTCACCCAGCTAGTAAGTGTCTGAGGCCAGATTTGAACTCAGTAGGATGGGTCTTCCTGACAGACCAAGCACTCTATCCACTGTGCAACCTAGCTGTCCAAACACAGTGTAAATGACAGTTACTATTAAGGCGGGACAAAAATGCTTGTATTACCACCCTCACGGACTTACCATGAGAAAAGTGCTTGGTAAATCCTGATAACTGCCATTTAAAGTCAATAAGTCAGATAGAAAAGAAGTGGACCATGTAGAGTAACCATCAGGTAGGAGGACACTCTCCGCCCAGCACAAAGACTCATCATATCCTATAAACAATGCCTCACATTTTTAGCACTCAAAAGTTTAAAAAGTGCTTTTGTCACAACAATACTGCAGGGCAGATGACAGTGCTATGGCCATCTCTGTTTTATAGATGAGAAACTGAAACCCAGAGGAGGACAGTGGTGTACCCAAGCTTACACGGTTACTAGATTTGAACCCAGGCCTCCTGCCTGACTCCAAGGCTCATGTTCTTTCCATAGACTCACTCTAATGTGGTCTGGACCTCCAACAATCTTGTCCTGGCAAGTCAACAGCTACACAAATAGCTATGATTTTTTTTTTTAAAGAGAAGTTGGGAAACCATTACAGGCTATTACTGTGGTGTGAATTGTAAGGGCCATAAAGGTTTAAAGGAGGCAGAGAGAAGTACAGAATATACATTTAATTGCAGCCTTTAGGAGCTGCTGGCCGCTGCTGCCCCATCCCCACAAGAGCCGTAACTGGGAACATTTTCATTGGGAGCAAGGGGTGGTAAAGTAGTATACCCTAGAAATATCTCAAGGTTTCTCTTCTGCTGCTGAAAGTGAGGCTGCTGAGGAGGAAAAGCCTGCTGCCCTTGGGAGGGTAGATGGAAAGCTTGATGGGGTAGTAAAGGCATGGGTGGATGAGACCCCCAAGGGGCAAGTAGGATGTTTCACTATTTCTAAGGAAAGAGGGGAAGATTCAGGTAGGAAAGTTCAGCTATAGCATCTGCCCCTATCAAGACAGGAAGCACACCCCACCCCCCCAAGTAAAAGTGCTGTCAGCTCTCTATAAATTACCCAACGTGGGGAAAAGGTACAGCTGTCCATCCTACTTATAACCCTATTCCTTACTCTGGAAAAAAAATTAAGCAACTTAATTCCATGAACCACTGAGTAAAACTACAGTTCTCTTCTGGGGAGGGGCAGCCCTCCGTGCATTAAAGTGACCTAGAAAAATGTTCTTTTTCTCCTCCCTCATTCCAACACATGTATGCTAAGCCTTGCCCATATTGTCCTGAAAGCAGAAGTTCCATATATACCCAGCATAGGGCTTCCAAGCAGGTATTAGTATTTCTTGGCTCTGAAGCCCAGAACACCAGAATCTCCTTACAGAGCAGGGAAGAGATTTAGTAGAACTCTGAGTGGAGGCTGGGTGGTGAAGAAAGTCTGAGAGTCAGATCTGATTTCTAGTTCTTAGCTCCACCTGGCACTAACCCATTGTGTGATTTGGGCCAAATCACTTAACCACACTAGGCCTCAGTTTCCTTACTTGAAAAATGGACATATTAGACTAGATGGTCAGTCCTTATGGTCCCTTCTAGCACTAACATTCTATGCTAATAGTAACTCATTTATGTTTTTTAAAGATTTACAAAGCACTTTTCTATACTCTGATGTAGGCAGTATAAGTGTCATTAAGCTCCCTTGACAAGTGAATAAACTGAGGTGTTGCAATATTAAGTGACTTGCCCAAGGTCACACAGCTAGTAAATGTCAGGGCTAAGGTTTGAACCTTGGTCCTTTGGTATCATATCTAGCACTTTCTACTATAACAAGCTGCTTAAACTTCTCTCCATCTCAGACATTCTATGATAATAAAAATGATACCAATACCTCAAATTTATATAGCAATATACAGTTTACAAAGCACTTGTTCCCCAACAGCCCTGTGAAATGGGGAGAGCTAGTCTCGGGCTTATGCTTAACCTCTCAGCCTCAGTTTCCTCTTCTGTAAAATGAGTTTGGACCAAGTTATCTCAAGGGTCTTTTCCTTTAATGTCTCTGAGGACAATTGGAGGAAAAGTAAATTTAAAACCTATAGGTCCTGGCATTAGAAAAATAATCTTCCCATTGAGGGAGCTTTCTTTTCTTTAGAATGTTCTGCTTTCAAAGTTGCTACTGCCAAAATGTCTCAGAGCCCAGCCTCTGGGTTAAGTGAAAGCAGGTCATCGGTTCCTAGGGATGAAGAAAGAGATTATATTTCTAGGGTCACTCACCCTGACTTGGGCACCTCGTGAAATCCACAGTTTGAAATGCTGAGAATAAATAAAGGGGGTGGAGGGAGGGCGGTGAGGACTGTGGATTCCTTCTGGCAGATGAACAGCCACGGAGGGAAAAAGAAGGATGTCGACAATTTTCCCAGAAGAGACACAAGGAAACTCTCATCTCCTGCCTCAACAAAACATGAGTCCTCAGAACTGGGAGGAGCCTTGGAGTCTAATACCCTCGTTTTACAATTGGGGAAACTGAGGCCGAAGATGAAGACAACAGAAGAGGGGAGGGGAAAAAAGGGAGTGGAGGGGGTGTAGCAGGGATGGAAGAGGAGGAGAGTGAAGGGGAGGGGAAAGAAGGCAGTGGAGGGGGTGTAGCGGGGATGGGAGAGGAAGGGAATGGAGGGGAGGGGAAAGAAGGTAGTGGCGGGTTAGCGGGAATAGGAGAAGGGAGGGGAAAGAAAAGAAAGCAGAGGGAACTGACTTAAGAGTCAAAAGATTTAGAGTTCTGGCTCCCCTATTGGCTACCTGTTTGATCTTGGGCCCGTTTTCTCTTCCGTGAAATAAAGGAGTGTCTATCAGCTCATCTGAGGTCCCTTCCAACTCTAAATCCCACCTTACAGTCCGTGGAGGCCCATTAATAGGCCTTCCCACCCGCGTCCCTCAATGCCCTCTCCAGAAGGACGAGACTTTCCGGACACCCCTGATTCTATGAAGGGCGGGCAGAAACGGATGCATCTCCTCGATTGGTGGAGGTGGTTCAATCCCCGCCTTCCTGGGGCCGTTCCCTTTACCCCATTGGTCAGACCTCTAGAATTATGCTAAAATTGAGCCAAGCCCCCCGCCCGGAGCAGCTGCGACTCTCAGATTGGAGACTATTGTTTGCAGTGCTTTAACTCCAGGAAATTGACTAAAGGAGGCGGGGAAGAGTTTTACCCCGAGCTGGGCTGGGTTGCTGGGCTGGCGGCTTCAGGGGCCCGGGATGCGGGGGAGCGTGGCATCCCACTCGGTCTGGGAGGCTGGAGAAGAAGAATGACGCCCATCCCCACCTGGCATCAGGGTGGCGGCTGCAGCAGCTCAGGTGAGACGGGGAGAAATCACGCTCCAAAGCGGTCTGCAGGAACTTTCTCCAGCTCTGGGGAGGCGCGGGCTGGTCCTGTAGCGTGTTCTGTGCCGGGCCCCAGCTCCGCAGGCAAAACGGGGTGGAGGAGAAACTACGTCCCGGGGTACCCCGCCCTCTGATACTACCCCATTCTTCTCCGGACGTACCAGAACTATAAACATTTCTTTTTTTTTTTTTCTGAGCGTGAGAGCTTAGTCCTGGATCAGCACGACTCTGAGCCTCAGTTTCCTCGTATGTAAAAAGAACTGGTTGAACCAGGTAATCTTGAAGATTCCTTCCAGGACTCATGTTCTATTCTTTGATCCTAAGAAACCTGACTTCGGAGTCAGAAGACTTGGCGTTCCCAGTTCAACTATCCTGCACACTATCTGCTAGTAGTGTAGTCAAGCCATCTAGTTTTTCCTCTCATTAGTACAGGGAGAGGGTTAGGCTAGATTATCCCTGAAGTTCCTTCCAGCTCTCGATTCTTTGACTTCCCCATTCTGGGCCTCAGTCAATCCATCTTTAAAAGTAAAAGGGTTGAATTAGGTTGTCTCCAAGGACCCTTTCATCTCTAAAGTTATTTTTCCATAATTCTTTTAACTTGTCTCCCTGGGGAAAACATGGTTCTTTCTCTTCCTTTCTCTCCCCTACATCCCCAGAGAATAGATACTGGACTATCTGGAGGTATTTACAGGAAGAACAGGTACCTGGGAGCCCTTCATGGGAAAGGGTTAACTTTTAAGTCCCTGAAATGCATCTTGGGGTGGGTTTAGTGGGGCAAGGAAATACCTTTAGTAGTTTCCATGCACCCCAATCACATGTGAAGGATTTGCCTGAAGCTTTCTGGATAGGAAGTGTCATTGTTTGTGGTGGGGCTCTATATACCAGGCAAGCCCACCTTCCAAGGAAGTTCCTCTAAGGAGGTTTCAGGGATCTGGATCTGTTTCTGAGGTTGGTGTCTTGGGGCCCGAGTTGCTGTGGTTACCCCCAGGGAGGTGGCATACTTGCCTGGGACCTGGTTTGTGTGGGTCTCACTCACTAGGCAACCAAAGGCAAGAAGCTGTGAGTTGACCTATCTCATGCTTTTCCATGAGCCCAAAATAATTTCCACCCTTTTCTGGGGGTTGTGTGTGTTTTGGGTGGGGGAGGGGTTAAGTTGAGATGGGATAGTGAAAGGTGGTGGGAGATCACCACAGGGACTCCGTCCGGTTATAAGATGAGTTTGTTTGGCATGTTTTTAGAGTCACACAACAGCAAGAGAAAAGGGGAAATGAGTATAATCTAATGACTGGTGTGGTGGTAGAAATCAAGTCTTCTGAGGAGACAAGCCATACAAAGAGGCACAGTGGTAAGAAAACTGGACTTGGAAATCAAGAGATATAGGTTCTAGGCCTGACTCTTTGGGAAGCCTGAGGCCCAGATAGCAAAAGTGACTTCCTCACCTGTAAAATGAGAGTGTTACAATAGATGGTCTTTAAGATTCCTTCCAATGCTAACATTCTAGAATCCTGAGGGTTCCATCCCGGGTTTCATTTAAACCTTTTTTTTTCTTTTTTTGAAGAGACCTACGATTTCACAAGATCTTCTGAGGAACTTCTACTTAGGCAGGTAGGCACCCTTTCTGTAATTTATAGTCATCTTAGAGAGTATCCTGGGACACTGAAAAGTTAGTTTGCCTAGGATTACACAGCCATCAGGCATTTCAGAAGTAGGACTCGAACCTAGGTCTTGTAGACGACAAGGTCAGCTCTCTGTCTACTAAGTCATGCTGCTTCTGAACTTCAGCCTTTTCTAAGCAGGAGATTTCATCAGCTCTCTAGGGTTGCTGACTGGAGTACTTCGGAAGATGCCAAGTTTTGAGAGTTTCCAGGGAGATCTGGAAAAGTTGGGAGCAGATGTGTGTCATCTTGCCTAGATGATACTTTGAAAATTGATACATACCATTTGAATTCCTATTCCTCCCACTTGGGAGAAAAGGCATTTTTAAAGCCTCTAGGTCCTGGCGTTAGAAAATCAACTTTCCTATTGGGGGAGCTTTCTTTTATTTAGAACATTCTATTTCTAGGAAGAACCAGGCCTAGAATCTAAATCTCTTGATTCTAATGAACTCTGATCTTGAAAAGACATTTAATTTGGGGCCTCAGTTTTCTCATCTGTTAAATGGAGAGTAATTGTCCTGCCTTTTGTTTCTCTGCTATGAGAATCCAATGAGAATGGATACAAAAGCTTTAGTAAACTGAAAGCACTGTCTTTACACTCATCAGCTCTTGTCACTTCCTAAGTCCTTATAGGCGATTTTAGATCATTTTAGATCTGGATGGAACCTCAGAGGTTACCTATGTTCCAGGAGTGGGAAACTTTTGGCCTTGAGGTCATGTGTGGCTCTCTAGGTCCTCAGGTGTGGTCCTCTGACTGAATCCAAACTTCACAGAACAAATCCCCTTAATAAAAGGATTTGTTCTGTAAAACTTAGACTCAGTCAAAAGGCTGGCCATCATAGACCTGGGTTCTGGTCCTTCTTCAGGCACTAAACCCAGTCGTGTGACTTCAGTCCAATGGTTTCACATCTATGAGCCTCAGTTTCCTATAGTGGAAAGGACATAATACTCCCTAATCACCTCAGAGGTGTGAGGATTGAGTGAAACATGCTTTTTGATGATTAGAACTGAGAGGGACCTTAAAAACCATCTAGGCTAAGCCCCTACTTTTACAGAAGGTGTTTGGGAAGCCTGCAAAGTGGTAATTCATTTGAGGGGATTAGCGGAGGAGTGATTAGACAGGTAGGGTAGGACCCATTGCATGCCATACAGAGACTGATGGGCTGGCCTAGGGTACTTCACTCTAGTGTGAGGGCAGGCAATCTACAGTAAGTTCACATTTATACCAAGCATTTTTTAGATTTAAAAAGCACTTTTCTCACAATGATCCCACAAGGTAGTTCTTGCAAGTTTACTATTTCTAGTTTACAGATGAGGAAATGGAGAGTCATAGAGGTTAAGTGATTTGTCAATGGTCACGTAGCTAGTGGGTGTCAGAGCAGGCGTTAGAACCCCTGTCTCTTAACTTCAGGTCCAATATACCTCCCATTTCATTAGGCTGTACAGTGCTGGTGCTGGTTTGATGTAGAAGAAGGAGATGCTTAGTTAAAATTTGTTTTAACACTTAAAAATTTTTAATTGTGATCTTTCATTCTTATTTATTACTTCATCTACCCTTTCCAACAAGCCACACCTTTTAACAATGAATGAATGAATGAATGAATGAGAGAGAGGAGAGAATGACTGACAGACAGAGACTGGGGAGAGAGGAACAGAGGAGGAGAGAGAGATTGGGGGGGGCAATTCAGCAAACCTAACTAACAATCAAGTGAGTCTTTTTTTTTTGTTATTTTAGGCAATGGGGTTAAGTGACTTGCCTAGGGTCACACAGCTAGTAAGTGTTATGTGTCTGAGGCCAGATTTGAACTCAGGTCCTCCTGAATCCAGGGCCAGTGCTCTATCCACTGCGCCAGCTAGCTGCCCCAATCAAGCAAATTCTGACAGTATAGGTCAGCAGTTCTTGAACTGTTTGGTCTTAGGGCCCCTTTCATACTCTTAAAAATTAGTGAGGACTCCCTCTTCCAAAGAGCTTTTGTTTAGGTGAGTAGTATCTATTGGTATTTACTGTTAGAAATCAAGATGTCTTAATATTATTATGAAAATAGTTTTGAACACATGGACTCTCTAAAAAGGCCTCAGGGACCACCCAAGGATTCCTGTGCCACACTTTGAAATCCTCTGGTATCAGCATGGTTCCCTACCCATAGTTCCTCATCTTGGCGGAGGAGAGAGTTGCATTTTCTCATCTCTTCTACAGGGCCAACCTACGTCATAATAATTACACAGTGTTTATTTTCCATATGTTTACTGTTCCTTCCATTTGCTTTGTGGTAATCATTGTGTATATGGCTTTTCTGCTTCTGCTTCCTTCATTGTGCATCTGTTCATCTAAATGAACCTGCTTCCCATGCTTCTCTGAATTCTTTGCATTCAAAATCTCTTCCAGAGCAGTACTATTGCATTTGAATGACTGACTTTTAAATATATTGGCTTTTGGTCTGATGGTCCCATGCCTGGAAGCAAGAGATTGTGGTGAAATGGTTGTAAAATGGATTTCTTCTGTTGAGGCATGGTTTAGACTTGATGCCTTCTGAGGTCCCTTCCAACTCTGACATCCTATAAGGCCGGGAATATCCATTAAAAGCATTAATGACATAGAAATCAAAGGAAGTTAGAAGTATGAAAGCAATTTAGTTATTTGCAGAGTGCAGGATGAGCCAAGATTGATCTATTGAGAAGGGAAAAAAAGACTGTTTCCAGATCTCCAGATCAGGTTAAAGATGTACTTCCTTGGGTGTAGTTTGGGAAGGGGCTGTGAGGGGCATAAAGTAAGGCCAGAAAGGAACATCAGGGGAAATCCTACTTTTGTGAGAGGGAGGGTAGTGAGAGAGACACAGTTAACTCTGGTACTTTCAGAGGACCCCGGTTTATTCTTCTAGCCTCTTTATCATCCTTTTACTCTGTGAAACTTGGCCCAGCTGGCACCCTGGCACAATCAGTGTTGTAGGAATCCTGCTTATTTGGAGGGACCAGTGCTCTTTTTCACAGTCATGAATGCTCTTAGAAATGCCAGGTTAGGGAGCAAGGACTTTTTAAACTTGTGGGTGATGGGCAGCCCAGCCTTGAAAGGTTTTTGAGCAGAGAAGTCACAGAATGATAGTTATGCTTTGGGATAATGAACCTGGTGGCCTGTGCAGGATAGACTGAAGAGGGAGCTAGTAGAGACTAGGAGAGTACTTAAGAGTCTATTATAGTAGTCTAGGTGTGAAGTAATAAAGGCCTGGACTGGTGGGGGGGGGTTAATGGAGGAGACAATGCAGGCAAGAACTACTGGACAGGTAGGTGTATTCCTGACCTTCCTCAGTGTTCTCTTACTCC